ATGCCATTGCCGCAGGGGCCTGGTACGGTCGTCGGCGTCGAAATCTTCGGACCTCTGCCAGTGACTGCCAAGGGCAACTCCTACATTTTGTTGTTCACAGACCGTTTCAGTCGGAGAGCCGACATGTTCGCAGTTACAGCGGCGGAATTTACGGCGAAAGGGACGGCTCAGATCTTCGTCAACAAAAAAATGACCAAGTGGGGATGTCCGACTACGTTATTGTCGGACAACGGACTGCATTTCTGCTCGAAGCTCTCCATGGCAATCTACGAGGTGATGAAGATCAAAAAGGTCACCACCAGCTCCTACCACCCACAGACCAACGGCGGCACGGAACGCGTCAACCACACGATGGCCCGCCCAGATGCTTGCGATGATCGTCAACGAACAACAGCAAAACGATTGGGACGTACAGCTCCCGCGCGTTGAGTTTGCCTACAACCATTCCGTGAACCAGGCTACTGGATTAGCGCCACATCGGACGCATCCAGCGACTCCCGCCTTCGGTCTTCGATCATCCCACGGTAGGTGGTCATCAAAGCTTGGCCCGCGATCAACTCGAGTGCTGCAACCTGGCTGTCGATCGCCAGCGCCGGGCCTACAAACTTGTCCGTGAGTACAACGCCCTGAAGATTTCGCGAATCAAACGCCGCAATTCATCCCTGCTGGACGCCATTCACAAGCTCCCTCAGTATACCGTTGGCGGGTGGTCTTGGGTGTACAACACGGCTGCTACAATTCGACAGGGTGTGCAGAAGGACACGGACCAACAGGTGCTCAAGGCCAAATTCGCACTTTCCTGAACGGGCCCTACAAAGTTCTTGCGGTGGGTCCCGCCTCTGCCGACGCCACTCCGGACGGCAGCCCGTTGGCGCGTAAACTCCTCTACCTGGACCTGCCTTCAGATCTTTCCGGCCCGGCAGCTCGTTGTGGCGTGTCTGTCCTTCCTTGCAAGCCCTGTCGCAATTCGTACGAGACGGACGACTTGCCGCAATCTCTGCCCGCCGAGCTTTCGCGTTATGTTCTGCACTCTTTCGGAGATAAATGTCCACCTTTCCACGTCACCGCGGATGATGTGTCGGTGCCTGTCGGGCGTCTCGAGGTCGACTACATCTCGGGACATGAACTGCTGCGGGGCCGCAGGGACGTTCTCGCTGTCCTGTTCCAGACGCATTGGTTAGGCCTGACTCCTCCTTCACGGGAACGGGAATCCGACCTTGATCAATTCCGTCGACACATCCTCTTGTACTGGTCCCGGGAGGTCTGCCAAAGCAAGCAGGGTATCCGTACATATCGAGTGGCTCGGACTCGCGCGGTACAGCGGGAGCTAGCCCGGAATCGTGGAGAACGCTATTTGCCTCCTGGGGCTGATCTTGTGCTTCACGCGACTTAACTTCGCCGTTTCAGCACTTCGCCCCTCCCTGTTGGCGCGCGGCTGTGGTACAAGGCCCGTGATGGATTGTGGTGGACCAGATGCATTGGTGTTCATCAGGGCGGCTCGTACATCGTTCGATTCTTGGATGACCCGGGCCCAAGCGTTCTGCCTCTGCCTGCGCATCTCTACTCCACCGCCTTGGACGCCGTCTGTGGATCATGGTGTTTAGAGAAACATCGTTCGCGCCCTCTGGGCGACAACCGTGGTCGCACTCCGCTCCTTGCTGACTCCTTACCGTCGGCTGTTCCCACCATTTCTTCTTAGCGTCGTCTTTTTCATATACCAATCGGCCTATTTTGGTCTTTTGTGCCATCCTTCTCGCCGACGATTTGTTTTTGTTTTTGTTTTTTCTGTCACCTTCCGTTTTGTTTTGTTTTGTTTTTTCTGTCCTGTCTCTTCTCTTTTTTTTGCTTATTTTTTGTTTTGGACGCTGGGGCAACGCCGCCTCAAGACACGCAGTGTCGAGTGATCCTTCTTCCTTGTTGCCTGCATTCGTCTGAATCAGTGAACTGCCGCGACCTGGATGTCCGTTCTCTCTCGCCTTCGCTTTTTTTTGTTGTTGTTGTTGGTCTTTGGTTCTCTCGACAGGCTCCCCCCGAAGTTTCCTCGGTGTTGTTTGCCTCTGGACACTTGGAAAAAGAGCTCCCCAAGTTTCGTCGGTGTTGTTTGCCTCGGGACACTTGGACACCGAGTTCCCCGCGTTTTCCTGGTTATACTGTTTGCCAACTAATGTTTGTCTTTCATAAAAATGTTTTAGCTCCGTCGTGCCGCAGAAGTGTCGCATACGCTTGGTGCTTCGGGATTCCATCCCGTGGCGTCTCCTTCTCTCGTGGATTTTCGTCGTCACCTACACTTCGTTCTGCTTCGTCTCCATCATCGCCACCTTCGGGCGACGCTTTCATCACAGTCGCGCCCCTGAGTCGTCGTCTTGTTGTGTGAATTTCTACGACTTTTTTGTGCTTTATGTCTTTGTATGGTGCGTATCGCCAGCGAGCCATGGCGCAGTTCGTCGACCGCCTCTCTTGCATTAATCGTTTGTGCTTTGCATCCTTGGTCCTCATTAGGTCTTGGCCTTGCCGTCTCCTTACACGAGTTGGGTACCCTGGCAAGCTGGCAATCGTTCTCCGTGCCTTTGCCTGTCGTTCTTTTCTCCTGCCCTTCGTTGACGTTGTCCTCGATTGCGTTGAGTTTTCCCTTTGCCTCGCGTCCAGTATCAAAGGCCGTATTCGTTCGGAAATTTGCTTGGGTTTTGAGTTTCGTCACAGTATTTTGGACTCTCGGGTTGTCACCCTCATTCCTCCAGTGGTGATGCGCGCGGGTGCGCGCAAATTTGTGATGTGTGGCGTTTGGACATTGATTTTGTTTCCTCTGTCGTCGTCTGTTCAGGATGATAGCATGCTCTGCAGCAATGTACATTCTTCGTAGCTTTATCCCTTCAAGCGTTGTCATTGAGATGTCGATGTTCCGTCTCGTGACCGTTCGCATCCTTCATCTCAATCATGGCGTGGGGAGTTGATTCGGGATATTTCTACAACTCACCCTCCTTTTGGATGTTTTGTGAAGAATCATATATTTTCGATTCATGATCATGAATCATCAGCTAAATCTGTGGCTTCAGGATTTGAGCACTGATTTGAGTATAGAATCTGCGTGTATGATATTCAGGGTGGGCTAGTGTTAAGCAGTGTGGCTGCTAGCATGAATAGGGTACATCTTGTTGGTGATAGGATGCGGGTCGGTCAGGAAGTATACCCTTCTGACCCCTACCCCCTTAGAATATTCTACACTATGTACCCCCTAAGATGAAGTTGGATCCCCACTCCATCTCAGACCCTTGCTGATCGCGTCTCAGCAATAACAAGCAACTTTCCCATCTCAACGTGGTCGTGGACAAGCGTGTCAACGACAGAACCTTCATCTATTACTAGGAGCAAGCTATCGCCCACGGCTTCACCTCCTCTAAAACCAGCGGTAGATAGTGGCCAACAGAGCACATGCGCTGGCGGGTTGTATTACTATCAGACATCTAGAGCGTGAATCGGGCCTACAAAGGAAAATCGCTCTCGGCACCACACGCAATAATGCATGAACTGTAGGCCGAAAAGCTGGTTTGATAGACCAACGTGCCTTCACGTCTATCATACACTCCAGCTGCTTTATTGCAAGCCCATATTATTTGGGAGTCATCGCTCAGCTCTTGTAGGCGCCCATGCCTGGATTCAGCTGTATCGATTAGCACGGAATTATGGAATTCTCTGACCCTTGTTGCTGTCAGGGGAGCTCTAAAACTCCTCCCCTTCTTGCCACCTCTCTTCCGAACCCTTGAGATACTCCCCTCCCGCTTCGGAGGCCCAAAACGGGTCACCCTTGCAGTGACAGGAACGAGCATTTGCGCCCCCATACACGGGGAGCAAAACCAATAAGCATGCTGCAGGACGGCGGAACGTAACCAACGCTGACATCGACACCTTCAACAAAACATACAATGAATCATAACCCTGCACATCGGACCGGCGACAGACCGCAGAAAGATATGGGCAGGATTCAAACAGTCACGTTCTGTTGCACAGATACAACTCGACCTGGCAGTCACCAAGACGAAACGAACTGTTGCAACAGGTACCACCGATGCTGTGGTGGACAGACAAACAGCCAAGAGGATCGACATCGACATCCTAGACACGTGCTGGCCAACGCATATCGGCGCGTCGTTCTACTTGCTCTCGACCGGGCATGCACTGCTGGTCGTGTACTTTCTCGATCGCGCGAGTACGGCAGCTGCCTCCTCGGGTTGGCTGCAATCTATGCACGCTTTAACCGAGGCGTTGTAACACGTGCCGTTCGCGACGATGTCTAGTGCCTCTGCCTCCCTCAAGAGCGACAAAGCTTTCTCCCACTGGCCGGCGTCACCGCACGCCATGATGACCAGCGAATACGTCCCCGGGTTCGGAGTAAGGCCAGCGGCTGCGGCCTCTCTCAGAAGAGAGACGCAGTCTTCAAAACGACCAGCGTTCCCGCACGCCGAGATCGCGCACCGGTAGCTTTTGTCGGTGATCGTGAAACCAACCTTTTGCATCTCTCTCAGGAGCTCCAGCGCTTCCTCGTGCTTCTTGGAGATCCCGCAGGCAGCGATGGCGGAATGGTAGCACTTCCTGTTGGGCGGAATTCCAACCAAAGCCATTTGCTTCAACAGCGCCACCGAATTCTCCCACTGCCCGCTGTGCCCATACTGCGTAATAGCGAGCGAATAGCTGCCGGCGGTCTGGGGTATTTCTGTCCCAGATATATTTCGCAAGCGCACCAGCGCTCGCTGCCGAATGTGTTGAGCCTCGCCCTCGCCGCGACCCTCCTGATTCTTATGGTTCGATGGCTCTGTTGCTTTGCCGCCAGACGACCCGAATTCCGTCTGGCTCTCGCCATTTTCTGCTGCCAAAAGACCCAAACTAGCTGTCGTTCCGCTGTGAGAGGCCGATAATGCCGATCTTTCAACCTCTCTAGTCAGCGCAACGGTCTGCCTCCACTTCTTGCCCGCCTGCCTTTCCATCCCAGCGCTTGTTGAACTTGTGTGGATGGTCGAGTCGCCTATCACGATCGTATCGGCCTCTGGATTCACTTTCATTGACTCCAACATCTCCTCCAGCAGCCCTGAGACGCCATCGACCCGGCCTGCTTGGTTGAAGGCCTTAATGACGGTGCTATAGCTGTCCATGTTGGGGACGATCCCTGCTGCCGACATCTCACGAAAAAGAGCCAAAGCGGCTTCGCAATCACCGCTGTCTCCCACGGCCTTGATGGCGATATTGAAGCTTCGGACACTGGGTTGGACACCGCCTGTCTCCTCCATCCTTCTCAGGAGGCCCAGCACCTGTCTCCACTGGCCCATGTGCTCGCAAGCGGTCATGGCAGAGTTGTAGCTGGCCACGTTGGGGGTTACACCGGTTGCCAACATCCGATCCAAAAGGTCAATAGCTACTTGAAACCTTCCACGGCTACCGCACAGAGTGATGGCGTTGTTGTACGTCGACACGCTGGGCTTAAGCCCCGCCTTGGCCATTTCATCCAACAGGCGAGAAGACTCTTCCCAGCGACCCCACTTTCCACACACGTCGATGACAGAGGTGTAGGTGGTCGCGTCGGGAGTTACCCCATACGCTGGCATCTCTCGCAATACGACGTTGGACGCGTCGCGCCATCTACCCGCCTTGACACAAGCCGACACGACCATGCCGAATGTCGACGAGTCCGGACGAACGCCCGACGAATCGTCGCTCATCATCCGGCTCAGAAGGCCTAGCGCGTGCCTCCACTTGCCGGCCTCTTCGTACCCCCGCAATGTCTCGTCGAACATTCTCATGTTGGTGACACGAGCTGGAGGAGAAGCGCCAACGGCGGGAACGGCTTGGTGCGTTGCCGCCAGCACTCGCAACAGGGCAGCCATCTGGCCCGCCGTCTTCGTTCTCTCCGTGCTCCGCTCCTCCCTCCCGGCGTATTCGATCGCGGGGCCCGCCGGTGCTAAACCTCTGTTACCGCGGCGACTAGCTTTTCTCAATAGCTTGTCTCGTCGTTCGCGCCGTCGGGCATCATTTGCCCCTCCGACACCGTCACCTGCTCGCCGAAGAAGCAGGAATTTCGCCGCAACTGCCGCTTTTCTCCTTGGTAGCACGAGCGTGCTTCTATTGTTCTCGGTACGACGATGGGAGGTAGATGACGGCAGAGCTTCTGGTCGGCGAATGTCGTGTCTGCGTTCAGAGAAACGTTCGGCCGGCCAGAATCGACGGCTGTTCTTCTCCCTGGCTTTGGATGCCATGGAGAAGCTCCTTGCCGCTGTTGCGGTTGCCGCCTTGGCTCTGGCGGCTGCAACGTTTTTGGCAGCTTTCAGAAACGACATATCGCGGCGCTTGACCCCCTTGACGTGGGAAGTGTTGTTTTATCTGGGGAGTCGGGGGTGGTCAAGGGCGTCACGCCAAGGGAAAAGCAGGAAGATGGGAAGGAGAATGGAGAGTGTCAAGGGGTAGGACAAGCAGGGGGGGGGAGGGGGGCGTACTCTCATGTCGTGCATGCCTTAGCGGTTAGACCATTGACCACGCATCCTCAAGAGGACGGACCATTGTTCCCACAGGACCGATCACCGATGGCCAATCGTTCCTTCCCACTTTGCCAAAAGTGGTTCAAAAAAGTCTTCCTGAGCCTATCCACCATACCGATATCATCTCCCGCCTTTTCAAACCACTTCCTTTTCCCCAGTTGAGCCACCGCCTTCTCCTCTCTATTCCATGCCTCAAACATCTTCCTGTACCTTCCTTGCATTTTTCCCAGCTCGGTGATGTACACTTCCCTCTCCTTTTCGTACAACTGACATTACGCGACTACATGAACACGGTCTTCGCACTCTAGGCCGCAATCACATTTGAACCTGTCGTCTTCGTCGTCTACCGTCCTATGCCTTCGTTGACGTTCTCGAAGGCCTATGTCCCCGGTCCTGAATTTGACCTTAAGCTTGGAGGGGCAAGCACGGACCGGGAAAAAAAATGTGTTTCCCGCTTCCCTTACGGAAGTAGCCGTATTCAACCATCTTAACGGACATCTGAGAGGCGGCGTAATACTGTACCGTCAACACCCCTTGCGAGCGCGGTGTCATTCACAGCCGGATGCATGGGTTGGAGAGCATGTCTATCGAGCAATTTTATCTTTCTCGAGGAGCATTCCAACGCCCAACCCATGCTCGTTCTCTCCTTCGGTGTGCATCAATTCTATGTAACGGCCACAACCAGTCAATTTATTAGGGCAATACGAGTGTCAAGGACGGCATTTGGTTTGGACCCAAACTTGCGGGGAATTTGAAGCGAAATGCACATCGTTCGTTTGGTGTCACCGTCCCAGAAACAGATTTGAACGCGTGACGTCCCTGTCGCTGCTCTACGATCCTATCCTTGCAGCATTTCAGGTTGTTATTCCGAATGCCCGAAGGTCGTTTTCGATGTGTTTGCCCTCTCATCTTGCAATTTGGACGAAAAAGCTTGCAACTCACCGGGGGGGATATCGCCACACTCTCCTTACGGAGTTCAATATTTGCGCACGGCGAAAAGAGTTTCATGTTTCGGTTCTTCGCCAGGTCGTCCGTGTGTGGCATCCACGGAAAACAAACAACCAAACGCCTCCCGGCTCCCCCCGTCGGCACACAAACACCTCTTCGTCCCGCCCGTCGCACTCATGTGCCTGGTGCACCAGCTACTACTGTAGCTGCGCTACACCAGCACAGCACTGCAGATGGCCCACAAGCACCTCCGCGTCGCGCCAGTCGCACGCGCGTGCCTGGTGCGTTCACGGCGAAGCTACACATAAGGCACAATCTGTGAAACAGCATCGCAGATAGACTACCGCAAAGTACTTGCCCCGCCCTAGCTAGTACACTTTTCAGTGCCAATAACCTTCGGCTCCTGTCTGTGGATCGAGATGAATCTGTGTTGTTCTTGCCACCGTTTTCGCTTTGTGCCTGCGGACCTTCTTCACATGAGCGTTCGTCCCGAGTAAAGTGGGGTATTAAGGGACACCCCCTAATAAGGGACACTTTTTTCATATGGACGTATCTCGGCGCACAATCCGCGGAGACCCCTGATTTTTTTCGGGGTGGTTGCAGCAAGCCGTTAGCTTTCGTTTGCGCACTTCAGCGTGCTGATCGGATCACGCAGTCACGAGATACAGCAAAGCAACTCCCAGCACCGCTGATGCGGTGCATCTTGCCCCTTTTCGGGGTCCTGCTGCTAAGCATTGTCCCGGGCACAGATCGACGCTTCTAGTTTCGAAAGCCTGCGACTCGCTACAGAGCAGATATCAACCAGGGCTGCTCCCACAGCCTCTAGGGTGCCCAAGAGCACCCTACACACGCGTACGCAGTAGAAGGGGACCGTGGGTGCCAAGGACAAAGGCCAAGTGTCCCTTATTTGGGGCTCGGGGAGTTTTCCGCTGACAAGTGAGGTGTGCTTCACCGGGTCTATCTCATGCCTAGACTGTCGAATCTCCTCACTGTTGCTGTTGAGACCTAGCCTGTGATCAACCGTATTGTGCGATACCTCCACATCCTTGTAAATCGTTCCCATGCCAGAGAACGAGCTGTTTGCGTGGGGGGTGCCTTAGGTGTCCCTTAATCAGTACTTTTTCCCTTCAAGGATATCGGCTACGAGTATCGTACACATACACCAGGCGTATTGCGTTTGATTTTACCATGCATGCCACTGAAAATGGCGGTAGGCGTGTGGACCAAGTATGAGCTTACGTATCATACAAAGTGCAGTCCGTCTCGGTTGCGAGAGAAACAGAGCAAACCATCGGCTACATACCTCTCAGCAGCAGGGCAGAGATGATGCTTCCATATTTTGCGTAACGCACTTCCGGCCTGTTTCCACCTCTCTCCCGGCTCACCGGCTGGCCGTTTCCTCGCGTGTGCCGGGTCGTGGATCTGCTGCTGCGGTGCAGGAGACAGGATATACCTGCACAGCAAAGAGCAGACGGAGCCGCTGTGTGTGATGTGGAGTAGCACCGCATCCGGAAACCGGGGGCACGCAGATGCAACCCCGTTAGGTGCAGGGGGACGTCTCTTCACGGTATCACTCCGCTCCTTGATACCGCACACGCGGTGCATCTCTGCCTTTGGCAGGCCTTGTTTGCGACAAGGGCAAGAGCAAGGGCCAGCATCAACAGCAGCAGCAGGGACAGCAGCAGTGGAACCACCAGCCGTAAAGTTTTCTGCGCAGTAAGATAGGGGGGCTGGTTGTGGGGAGCGAAGCACGCATTACAAGCACCTACGTCGACTGAGAAGGGGGAGCAGCGAGACGAACGAACAAGAGCCGGCGGGAACGCGGCAAGATATCATCACTCCAGCCTAGCTCTTGCTGCACCACTGGCTGCAAGGTTGTCCTGCTGCTCTGCAGCTGGAAATCATTGCTCTGCAGGGCTTGCTCGAGGGCGAAAGGTTGGCACGACATTCGGAAACGACACACGCAAAGGTATCCTGTCCGGTCGCGTCTGAAGACGACGGCTGTGCACGGTTTTTGGCTCCTTTCGTATCTACCCGTGTGCAGGAACAGCAGTATTTAGACTATGGGAGAGGCGGCATATCATAGGTCGACACGTCACGTGTGCGCAAGTACTCGTCGCATTTGTGGCGCTGCCCTCATCTCTTGCGTGGGAAATAGGCTTGCTTTGGCGTGATTGAGTTGAGCTTGAACTCGCTGCTGAGCAACCCTGTGGTGGTTTCTTCTCGATGCAACAAGTGACGCAATTTTGCATGTTTAGTCTACCTCTCCGCTGTCCCCACGGTTGCTCAGGTTTCGGCACCCGGCCGCCTGCTGCAGGGAGGGCAAACTAGGATAGAGGAGTGGTACGGGCAGGGAGTGGACTAAATGGGCTTCTTGGGATTAAAGGAGGTGAGGAAGTCGGGCGTGACCTGTGGCACCCTGCGAATGGAGGGTTGAGGTTTGGATCTTATCAGCATGTTGCTCAAGGCGAAGCTATGGTAGCATGGATCCGGTTGTGTACATAGCTGACTAACGTACTTGCACGCGGTAAGCTTAGGCTAGGTGTCTAGTTTCCCAACCCCAACTCGAGAACCATACCATTGTACATATTACCCGCAAGGCCCACGAGCTGAAGACAAGTGTATGAGACCGTCGAGAAAATTACTCAAGTATTTGGCAATAGCAACAATAGCCCACGTTGCGGGGACTATTCGGAACGTGTGGTTTGTCCACGAAGTTTCGATGGGGAACTGGCCATCGCATGACGCAATAACCAACTTTTTCGGGCAGTTGCTGTGTGGAAATCGAGGGAGATGGAGCTGGGTGGAACTGGAACCCGCGACCTCCCTCCATGTTGGCGTCACCCCCGACGGTTCCGTGACCGGCAGCAACAAGGGTCGTGCAGCAGTTCGTAAACGTTAACAGCAACTGTCCCGCGTGTAGCTCCTGAGCAACGAGAGTGTGGTATCTTGCGTAACCCTAAAAAGATCTGTCGCCCACCGGGGCCGCGGGTCGACGGTAGGATCTCCGAGCCGACCACAGGATCTCCAACCATAGTCCCCTACGCACGGAGACAGCCGGCCGTAGCAGCGTTCGCAACGATAATAAGCTTGGTTTTTAGTAGGGGGTGCGGGTTAGGGAGTGGGATGCGAAACCGCCCGCTCTTAATGCATTTCATGGACACAGCTAAATCATCGCGAAGGCGGTCCCACCCCCTGTACGAGGACACTGAAGCGTTACATGTGAAATAGGCGCATCGCACGGGTGGAAAAAAAACGTTGTATCGGGCGCTCTTGAAGAACACCCTCTGTCACGTTTGACACCGGAGAAGGGGACGGGACGGCCATCGTGAGGGCTTGTTATTTTTTTGTCTATGAACTAAAGAGGAGGGTTCGTAGATTCTAACCCCCAACCCAACCCCGGAACCCCTACTAAAGCCAACCTCAACATCCTGACGAAGGCTACTGCTGCGGCTTAGAGGTTTGCCCCGCTGCTATGACCAAGGGTGCCATGCCCGGTCCCGGCGGCGGCGACATTGTGTCTGCAGACGCTCTCCTGATGTTGACATTGTCTGCAGAGCGCAGGCTTCTCGGTCCGGCTCGATTGTTTTGTTGTCTGCAAGCTCCGCGGAAGGGGGGCAGAGAATACAAGTCCTGTGGCATGGCCTTCCCGTGGTGCTGATGCACATTCAGACTTGTACCGCAATTGCACAGGACCGACAACATTTTTGCCGATTTCTTGCAGATAGATTGCAAGCGGAGGCCAAAACGCGAGTCCCGGGGTGGTTGGGCATCACAAGGGATGCACGGCATCTCTGTAGAATATGTAAGTCGATCGAATCGATCGCGGCCCTGAAGAACGTTCTGTGGCGACAAGGAGCGCCCTTACTATCGCCATCGTGCATATTGCGGGATGATTGGGGGGGGAGGGTTACTCCGAGGAGATGAGCGTTTTCGATCAGAGGTGGGGGAGGAGGAACGGTGCTCTTTCGTCTCGAAACGGGGCGTGTTAACAATGGTCACGTTACCTGAGGCAAGCACCGACATGATTTCGTCGGTTGCCCCCCCCAGACACAGCGAACTAGCCACCTTGCCTCGGCCAACGCCTCGCCTTCAATCCTGGTACAGCCGTATGTGGCCAGATTCACAAGTTGCGAATGCGTCCAACGGCAAAAGGACCTCAATGCAGCACGGCATCCCCATCCCTTCTTCCTCGCGTCGTCACGTGCAAAACAAATCACATCTCCCCGCTACCCACGTGCTGTCTAAACCCTAACCCTAACCCTAACCCTAACCCTAGCCTTGCTTTCATCGGTACGACATGATGCAGGCCTTTCAGGGCCAGGTGCAGCTGTTTTTCGGATGTCTGGGGGGGGTGGCGGCGCGGTTTGGGGTGCGGACGCCGGTCGAGCACGCCATGTTTGGGGGCTACATCTCCGTGCTCACGGGAGCCACCGAGTTCGTCCTGTCCATCATCGCGGGTGCGTGCGCGTTTGTTAGGGAGGAGGGGGGTGTACTCATAGTCGTGCATGCCGTAGCCGTTAGACCATTGACCTCGCA